CGTGTCCCCCCGTGCCCCCCGTGTCCCCCGCCACAGGCACACACGAGTCCCGTGGCTGTCCCCATCTGTATTTGGGCCCGGGGTGGCCGTGTCCCCGTGTCCCCGTGTCCCCGTGTCCCCGTGTCCCCGTGTCCCCGTGGGGACGGTGCCTCTAGGTGGGGATGGTGCCGGTGGCCAGGAGGATGATGAGGATGAGGACGATGACGCCCACGAGGCCGAGGATGACGAGCAGCTTCACGTTCTTCCACCAGAAGCGCCGGGCCATCTTCTGGGACGTGGTGCGGAAGTGCTCGGACTGCGGGGACAGCGCTCAGGGACGGGGGACCCCGGCACCCTGGGGACCCCGGCACCCTGGGGACCCCCGCACCCTGGGACAGTCCTGACACCCTGGGGACCCCCGGCACCCTGGGGACCCCCGCACCCTGGGACAGTCCTGACACCCTGGGGACCCCCGGCACCCTGGGGACCCACGGCACCCAGGGACAGCCCCGGCACCCTGGGGACCCCGGCACCCTGGGGACCCCGGCACCCTGGGGACCCCCGGCACCCAGGGGACCCCCGGCACCCAGGGACAGCCCCGGCACCCTGGGGACCCACAGCACCCAGGGACAGCCCCGGCACCCTGGGGACCCCCAGCACCCTGGGACAGTCCTGACACCCTGGGGACCCCCGGCACCCTGGGGACCCCCAGCACCCTGGGACAGTCCTGACACCCTGGGGACCCCCGGCACCCTGGGGACCCCCGGCACCCAGGGACAGCCCTGGCACCCTGGGGACCCCCGCACCCTGGGGACCCCCAGCACCCAGGGACAGCCCCGGCACCCTGGGGACCCAAATCCTCAGCCACTGGGCACACCTCTGTCACCCAGGCACCCCAAGTGCCACCCCAGGGACATCCTAGGGACACCCCCTGCCACCCCAGGGTCCATGCCATCCCACTGGGCACCCTTGGGGACCCTGCTCCCCCTTGGGATCCCGTGTCCCTGACCTGGGGACCCTGAGGAGCCCCCGGAGGAGCCCTGCACCACCTCGGGGGCTTCGGGACCACCTCGGAGACACCATGCCACCTTCGGGACCTGGGGTCACCTCGGGGAGCTGCGAGCCCACCCTGGTGACCCCGTGCCCACCCTGGTGACCCCGTGCCCACCCTGGTGATTCCGTGTCCCATGTGGGTACCTCATGCACACGCTGGTGGCTCCGTGCCCCCTCTGGTGACCCCTGCCCACTCTGGTGGCTCCGTGCCCCTCTCCTCTCCCGTGCCCCTCTCCTGCCCCGTGCCCCTCCCGTGCCCCTCTCCCGTGCCCCTCTCCCGTGCCCCTCTCC